ATTTAACGGATGATCTTTTTGTTAATTAATACATCACATATATTATGCATGAATGGTCGAATAAAACTGGAAAGATTGAAACCAATCTGAAATTCAAAAGGACTTTCATTTACAGGAGTTTAGAGCAATTACACGTACTACCTTATATGATTTACTATGCATAGATTCTTAAATTTCTATAATTCAAAAGAACCTACCTGAAATTTATCATGATCATTTACATACATATTAGAAACTATAAACTACACAATTGATATGTAACCCAGATTTCTATTGGACACTATAAGACTCCCTTTCAAACATTAAACATACAGTAAACTTTTTTAGCTGTGTGAAATGCAATGTTTAATGTTTTAATTACTGAAAAGGTATACAATTGAATGAAACTTAAGTGTTATTTCCAAGTCTTAGTGTCTATATATATAAATGGACGTGATGCGATGTAAAATGTAGATTTGAAAGTATAATTGGCCTCGTATATTTTCTTTTTCCTTCCATTTGCATGACATAACATTTTTTCAAGAGCATATTTAAAATATTCAGTAGCATATATTAGTTACACAAAACGAATCTCTCCTATTGTGTCTTGTATATGAATGAATCGGTAATAACAGAGTGTCAATTTAAAGCTATAATTCACTATGTCAGGAGAATTGGTAGATTTGTCTGTCAACAAGTTTATAAAATGGTTTTCGACCTTCGTTACTCGTGGGTAGAATATAAAAGTGTCAAATGAATAAGGTTCTGTCCCATCACAGTATCTTTCATGTGAAAATTTCCCGACTCTAAACACCTGGTAAATAACCTTTGTATTGTCCATCGTCCGTCAGGCAAAAATATTTCAGCCTCGTGTTTACCTGGTATTTTGATTTGACAATTAATATTCTCCCTCACGGAAGTGTCTAGATAGTAAATAGAGTATATCATCTAATTCGATTTAATTTAAACTAAACTTTCGAACATAGATTAAGTATGTTATTTGAACTCATTGAAGTTACTTTATACTCATGGGCTTTTAAACAGCTCCCCCCTTTTGCAATGCGTTTGTTTTTCGTCAACTTAACAACTTTAAAGTCGACGTAGTAACTCTTTTATTCACATTAAGTTAATGTTTCAAACCATATATATATAAAGAAGTCTAAATTGAAAACAACGTTCAACCCTATGATTGCGTTGGATAAAACCGCAATTTTTATACGTGTGCATGCAAAACAAATTTCTTGGTAGAGGGGTCTAAATACAGCACAAACAACATTTTCCAAAAGACCAAAAAAGTGAAAAAATATATTTTAACAAAACGCATTTGACTAGCAGGTCGAACAACTGATGTTCTTAAACCCTGCTGACTGCCATTGGAGATTGCCAAATAAACGGATCACGAAGATGTAACAAAATGGATCTTATAATATATATATAGATACCTTTCATTGCAATTTACGAAAGATGAATTTCATATTTCTTTAGAATAGATCAGCAAAAAGTAAAATCACCAAAATACTGAACTCCGAGGAAAATTCAAAAAGGAAAGTCCCTAATCAAATGGCAAAATCAAAATCTCAAACACATCAAACGAATGGATAACAACTGTCATATTCCGGACTTGGTACAGGCATTTTCTTATGTAGAAAATGGTGGACTGAACCTGGTTTTATAGCTAGCTAAACCTCTCACTTGTATGAGTATAATCCCGATTCTTTGTTTAAGCCAATACTTATATATTGCTAATAGTATCAACCTCTAAAATTAGCCATCCTTCCTTGTTATGGAGAATGTTTATTTTTTACTTGAATAATGAGTTATTTTCTTTCTTTGAGTAAGACTACGTGTAAGGTATAAAGTTTTTTTCCCCCTATATACATTAAAAATAACTAAGAGAGAAAGAAATCATAATGTATAGCTTAAAAAGTGCTCAAGGCAAACATAACAATTGTAAATGGCTTATTTTATGCCATCTTTTCTCCATGCAGTTTGTCCGGGATCACGAACATTACCCTACTTTAGAGAAAGAGATGAGACTCGCATTCAAATTTTATGTTTCCCATGATTTTAAATGCATAATTTGAATTTATTATTGGAATAGAATTGCTATTCTGTAGATTGTAGGCGTGTCAAACCAGAAGTTATAACTGATGTTAAATGCGTATGTACTTTGCTTTAATTTTAATGTATGTAACTGCAAATAGTCACATTATCCATTATTTATTGAAAATATAATACAATTATTTATTTTCTTTTGAATGATATTTTTTTAGAGAAAGTAAAATGTTAAAAATTAGCACAGGTGTCATGTGCAAATACAATATAATTTTACGACTTTGATGATAATCAACTGAGTAATATCTCAACAAACTTTCATCAACAGTGTAACCAGCAGATATTGATAAGATACTATCGAAATTCCTAATTTTTTTCATATACTTAGCAACTTATAACTGAATGGTATCTTTGGGAGAAAAGAAAAACAAACAAATATCAGATACAAAAAAAAAATCTCAACGCGTAAACTGATGGAAATTAATATATTAAATCTTGGCTGCTGTTATCAATTTGCGTCCAAACTGAAGCTTTTTTTAAAATTTTTTTTTTAAATAGAATTAAACTTGATTATATATATATCTGGCTGCAAGACTTAATTCTGATTCTTTTGTCATTTGAAAATTTGACATTAACTCAAGGGCAAAATTATTTCAATTTACTGAAACACCATGAAACTGTCAGCTGCTCCGCGAAGGCTATACAGCTCCTCTATATACTCCAGTGCGAGCTCCAGTGGCATTGTGTATGTATTCAAGACCAACTGGGATCAAACTTACAAAAAGAATAACTGGGAATTTCTTAAACAACAATCCATGATCAATCGCTGCCGGTCGGATATGTGAGTGTCTAGATGGGATTTGTAGAATAGAGAGAATAATGGACCAGAAGAATAAAGAATAGAGAATAATGGACCAGAGGAATAAAGAATAGAGAAAAATATAACTTATTTGGTTATTCTCTGCCCTGCAAGATATCTCACAATGAAGAAATCTGAAGTCCATCTAAAATCCTGAAAAGAAGCTACCCCTTAATATTTTTAACGTTGAAACTTTGGAAAACATTTACATATCCTTTTCTTCGAGAACGTTTCACTTCACGAATAAAAGTTGTATGAATGACAAAAACACGAACAACATATAATATGTGGTTTTGCTGTCCAACGTTTTCATCTTTATGTGTCTATACTACCAGCTACATATATACTCTGCGAGTTATTGCTCGTTCTATTTCAGTAAAAACCACAAAGTATTTTCGAACATGAACGTCAATTCTTGCTTTTTTTTTTCTCTCGATTTAAACATAATGATCGATAGTTTTACTTTTAATTTAATATTTAATCCATTTTTTTTCACTTATCGTGACCTATCAATTTTCAAATGTGACAAGTAAGGCTTATTTAACAAACAAATAAAAGTCGTCAGTGGAAATTGCTGTCATTCAGATATATGTACCTTTGACAGTTTCAATTAAAACTGATCACAGATATATAATTGTTTTCAATCTCAATGAAATTCAAAGTACAGATTTCTTTTCTCTCGCATTCCTGTTTCTTATATATTTTAATGTGAAGTTAAAGAAGAGAAATGTGATCTACAACTTCGTGGGGCATTAATGAGAAAGTTATTTTAGTTTCAACAAAAAGAATATGAGAACTGCCATTATTTATATAAAAATTAATATGAAAATGTATCATACCACTCCAGCGTGTCAACACAAAATAAGAAAACGTTAAATTTGCCTGTGGTGTAACTACCTTTAACATTAGTTATGATGTTTCTCGTTTGTTTTAATAGATTTCCGCAATTATTATTTATATTGCCTAAGTTGTTTTTATATATACATTTTTTTGTTTTTGTTTTATTGTTTGCAACGTTTCAAAAAAAAATCACCATTTTGAAAATGGGTTAAAGATGATGTGGGGTAAACACCAATGAGACAGCAACCTAACAACACTTGTAAGACAACATGAGATAGCCCTATAGGTCATTACATGATTTCCAACAATTGATAACGACAAGACGGTATAGTAAAGTCTAAATCAACCCAATTCTGCGAGAACGGTTAAGTTTAAATCGTCCTAATTCTAGAACGTATGGTAAGGTTAAACTCAGCCCAATTCTGCGCGTTTGGCTAGGGTTAAATCAGCTAACTTATATAGAGCATATGGTAAGGTCTAAATCAGCCCAATTCTGCGCGTATGGTTAGGTTTAAATCGTCCTAATTATAGAGCGTATGGTAAGGTCTAAATCAGCCCAATTCTGCGCGATTGATTAGGTTGAAATTAGATTTATTCTATAGACAAGAAATTAGCCTTGTTCTAGACAAGTTGTTGATATTTTCAACAGAAAAGACTGAATTCTCAATAGACAAAACTACGATGAATCAGTGACAGTTACTGACGAGAAGCACGCAGGGTTTTTCATCATTAAAGCAAAATAAATGGCTCTGCATGTATATATTGCACAGATCATCAATGACATCATTAAAAAAAGAAAAGAAAATATGTAGAAAAAACTTAATGTTAACTTGCATATTGACTTACTTAAAAAAATATTTAAAGACAACAATGAATCTAAAATATGACACGATTAGATAAAAGTAACTCCGAAAAAGAAATAAAAAATAGGAAGATAAAAGTACAACACTTTAAAATATTACTATTTCGTTTGATATCTTTTTACTATAAGATAACATCATTGTGAAAAAAGAGATTATATAAACCCAAGACAGGTTACTTCTCAATTTTGTATGATTTTGACAATTTGGTTAAAAGTTTTGAATAAAGAAATTAATAAAACAGCAAGAATTACTCTTTAAATTATTTTCTCAACATGCAAGAACTATTAATTACGTTGATTTTTTGCTGCTTTTTTTTTGCAAAGGATATTTTTTGTTAGTTTTATTAATGTTATTTTGCTTTTGTAGATAAGATAAAAAAATATTTTTGAACTTGATGTACTTACATGTGGTTCCACGAATCCTACTCGTTGTGTGATGGGGTCATTTCTGACAACCTCTACTCTACACTCGTCCCCCTTTTCTGTTACAGTGAACCGAATATCATCACGTTTAAGATACACGCTTCTTCCTATTTTGACTGTTAACTCCTTAGTATCCATCACAATTTGACAATAAGCACAAAGTGAAAGCAGCGACAAAACTGCAAATCGTAGAATTTTCATTTTTACACTGTCATAAATTGTCAGTGCTTAGTACTCCATTTTGCACCACATTTACTTGACAGCTTCCATCACATTCCCTTTCTTTGTTTCACTATATTATTTTTTTATTTTCCTGACACAAATAACTTTCACATTTTCACTTTTTGTTGATTTTCTCCTTGTTTAGACACAATCCTCTCTGAGAAAACAAACAAACACCTGCGAAAATAAACAGCTAATATAAATCCATTTTCCAACATTCGTTACGCTTTTCGTTTTTAATTATAGCTAATAATTCCACGATGGGAACATGCAGAAGAGAAAAAGCTAACTGATAACCCAACGGATTTAGCAGTTTCCACACAAAATGTTACTATGACTTTTTTTTTCTAGCTGCGATTGCAACACATAAATGTGAACGCCTTCTAACTAGGAGCACGTTGACTGTTTTGAGTGATCATAGGTGTTTAAGATCATGAAATCTAACAATGCGACTTTAAAAGGGCCATATTTAGTATGGAATTAAAATAAAATAGATTAGGTAAGGTGAGATTACACTTATATAAACAAAGATTTACGTTTTAAGAATTATATACAGTTAGTTTAATCATCTACTTTCTCACTCCAGATTTGTGATATATCTTTTTGAGTGTCAGGTTTGGACGCTTAACTGTAACAAACATTACAATCTATCAAATACCTCACCGCTTTACTTGATAAAGTTCACACCTTGATTTTCAACTTGTATTTAAAATTTAATTACATTTTCTCTTTTTTGGTTTTCATTGTCCTTTGCGCGAAAAATATTTCAAATTGAAAAATATTTTTGATTGAAAAAAACTTCTTAAGTTCTTCATGGCTGTAGGCATTGTTTTCATTTCTATATATACTATTTGTATCTTGAAATGGCCTTTATAAGACGTGTCTAAAAGCCATTCATTCCTTTATACTAGGCGAATATCAAGATGTTAAAATAAATTGTGACATTAATAGAAAAAAATATTGTAAAGATTGCAGTTAATGAATTATAAACAGATTTATACTACTGACACCTGTACCTTATTTTTACAAGACAATTAGGTGCGTGACAAATGTTAATAGATTTGACATATTAGTCCAGCCGATATGTCATTGTTCAGATTAACATATATGAATATACGTTTCTTTAAAATTGTGAATGAAAGTAATTGCAACATCTGCTAAGAACCCCATAAAAATTAATTTTCCTAAATTTTAACATTTTTTATCGTGGATGTAAGCAGTTGGTGTTTATGCTCATATGAAATATTATATACATAATCATAAACTGTCCTGTTGCTATATAAATAGAAAAATATTGAAATTATTGGTATAGGTCATAGATGAGAAACGAATTCAGTGACTTTACTTAAACCCGAATCGCCATATATTTACTTAGAAAACATCTAGATCAAATATAAGGTACGTAACTTGTTCACATGTACACGTTAAAACAAATAACAATTATAACGGTAAACAACGAAAGAATGGGAACATTATAATAATTACAGAAAAATGTTCGCACACAAAGGAATCTATTCGGGTAAGTAAATAAAATATGATAAAACAAAATCCTAAAATCAATTGAGATAATCTTGTAAACCATTTTCATGTCATGCACCCAATATGCTTAAATAAATATTAAGAGAATTATCGCTATAATAATTTTTGAAATTTGATAACCGTAAATTTGAAAATAGCGATGATGGTAAATTCGACTAAGCGGAAGACAGTGGTTTTAATATATCTTGAATAATAATAGAATTGGTATGTGGGGTGCAAGTATACAGAGACCGAGTCACGCAAACTGTCAACCAAAACACAGGTGTTCTAATCTAAGTTACACCTGTACAGCATAGTCAGTGTTTTGTTACTTTCATACTGCTCAAAGGAAAAAAATTATTCAAAGGACATAAAAAACAAGGTATGCGGACAATATGCAACCGCGATACGAAAATATGACAATAAAATTCATTACTTCATAAAAAGAGCGTATAAATCGACATTGTACGGTAACAAACGGCTATAGATAGCGATCTTTATATGAGAAAGTTTATTTTACATAACAAACGAATGGATGCCTTAATGGTATTCGTAGACGAGTTTCTAGCGTTTAATTATGCAAAAAATCAATAAAAACCCCTTTACAATTCATAATATATTATACTCTTAAAATATTTTTAACCACGTATAAAGCAATTACATTCCAATAAAATATGGGAGTAAATCAAAGTTATAAAAGAAACAAGCTCGTAGCAATGATGCTAGATATTTGTAACTATTATCTTAATCATTTACATTTAATATATTCTCTAATAAAACATTGCTTATTCGTGTTACAGCCAAACTATTCTATCATTAATCTCTTTCAGTCAAATAGGGTCAACACCTATCCACATATAAACCCGCTTATCTTTGTAAACTTGTATATCGTTGTAAAATGACATCATTTGCAGTACATTATTATAAACTTCGCTTATCTACGAGAAAGCATAAAGTACTAAGTTTTTAATTTAGAAATTAGTAAAGTTAATAATTACTTACTGAGCCGAAATATGAACGAAATGTATATCCTACCGAGTCCTGACACAGGTTTCTCAAATTTAAACTTTTAACTGTAGAAACTTTGTCGTACAACCAAATAAATCATCTTCTATTCATTCACTGATGTTCCAAAAGTGAAAAGATTTTTTAATCAATTTTACTAAAAATTATCCCAGTGCTTTCAAATGAAAAATATTCGTGTTCAATTAGACTTAAAGATGATATACATCATTGGGATGTCGCACGCCCATTTTACGGTTGACTTTCAAAAAATTCAAATGCTTCATTTAATAATATTGATAATACTTCTTCCAATAAGAAATTTCCTATGCACATATTTTATTCGATGTCCATTGAATCAAATCACATACAAGAATTTTCACTTGACAAAATAATGCCCAGTTTGATATCAAAAACGGAATAATTGAATTTGTTTTATTTTAATTTCACAACAAAATTATCCTAACACGAGATATTCACATCAATGGTACAAAATGTATCTAAATCTCTAATCATTTTTCTCGCGTGCACCTTTAGAGATTTCTTCTGTTGTGTTTGACCACGTGACTATGCTATCATAGCCGTCATATAAAACCTTTAATTTTTTCTATTGAGCATAAGACTGTCTTTAATAGCCAGGTAGAAAACATAGTTAAATTAATGATCTCTCATTTTCCCACACCTTTTTACCTATGCAGGTTCATATAACATTCTTGCTGTTTATATCTATTTTCACCGCCATAATTATTCTTCGACAGAAATAACTTTCTATTTGACTATCTAATTAAAATTAATGGCATTGATTAGTCCCTATATGAATCATGTTCTGTATTTGAACTTTATCATTGATTATATACATTTTTCATTTTTTAAACAAGTTTCTCTACATATAGCATGTTTGCCTGTCACATGAGGCATGACAATTTATGATACAGAACCCTTGAGACATGCCTTTATAAAACCTTTGCAAACCTCTTTATAAACATTCAACAAGATTGTACTTCATTTATTTATATGCCATAATGAATGTTTTATAATGTTAGAATGTTCCTATAAATGCATATTATGCATATACATACTAAATCACTTGAACTCTTTGCTTTGCTGGTGTAGACATTGGGCTTATCGTACTTGTACGACTCTTGTGTCTCATCTAGTTAAGCAATCAACACAACAATGTGACCTTAATTGGGATAAATTCGTATTGTATTGTATTGTATTGTATTGTATTGTATTGTATTGTATTGTATTGTATTGTATTGTATTGTATTGTATTGTATTGTATTGTATTGTATTGTATTGTATTGTATTGTATTGTATTGTATTGTATTACACATTGCATTGCATTGCATTGCATTGCATTGCAATTCATAACATGGCATTGGCATGGCATGGCATGGCATGGCATTGGCATGGCATTGGCATGGCATGGCATGGCATGGTATGGCTTGGCATGGCATGGCATGGTATGGCTTGGCATGGCATGGCATGGCATGGTATGGCATGGCATGGTATGGTATGGTATGGCATGGCATGGCATGGCATAGCATGGCATGGCATGGCATGGCATGGCATGGTATGGCAATTCATAACATGGCATTGGCACGGCATGGCATGGCATGGCATGGTATGGTATGGCATGGCATGGCATGGCATGGCATGGCATGGTATGGCATGGCATGGCATGGTATGGCATGGCATGGCATAGCATGGCATGGCATGGTATGGTATGGAATGGTATTGTACTGAGTTGCACTGTACGTATTGTATTGTGTTGTATTGTATTGTTTTATATTGCATTGCATTGTATTGTATTGTATATCATTGCACTAAATTACATTGTACTGTTTTGTATTGTTTTATATTGTTTTACAATACATCGATTGAATTGCATTATTTTGCGTATTATTGTATTGTATTGTATTGTATTGAATTACACAGTATTATATTGTATTGTTTTACATTGCGCTGCATTGTATTTTATTGCATTGTATTATTTTCTATTGTATTGTATCGTATTGCATTATATTACATTGTATTGCATTGTATTGTGTTGCTATGTATTGTATTGCAATGTTTTGTATTGCATTTTATTGTATAGTTATGTAAAGAATTGTATTGTAATGCATTATATTGTATAGTATTGTATTACATTGTATTTAATTGTATTATATTGTATTGTATTATACTGTATTGTACGTGAATGTATAAAAACCCTCAACAACTGCTCTTTGAACCACACAGACGTTGAGACAAAATGTTTGTTTCTTTTATCCGAGTAATTTAGATTCAGATGCATTTCGAAAACATTATCATTGTTTATGAATGGAGTTTTTTTTCCAAGCTAGGTTGTTACATTTTTTATAAACTTTGAAATAAAGTTTTCAAGATCAACTTTAAATTCACTAATATTAAATGTATTAACGAAAAAGTGCTTAGTTGTAAGCTTTATAATAGGTATAAGGATTACAAACATTATTTATTTATTTATTTATTTATTTATTCTTATGAATATTATATGTCGTGTTTACATATAATCAACACCAGCCTTAAGCGACACACTTGTAAAGCCTTAAACTACATTATATAGACAAATTTCGAATAGTTTTCATGCATGCAATGATCTCATGTTACTCAATCCCAAAAACGAGACTAAATATTCGCCTATCTCTTTATCAACATGGCCACTGAAGCATCAGCAACAGCAAAAAAGAGAGAGATATGATTTTTAGCTGTTGAAAGATATAGTTTAACTAATTAGTTCTGAGGGGTATCTTCCTCCCAATCAGTGCATGATTTATCAGATTAATTTAGGCAAAAACAACTTGTGAAAAGATCTAGACCATTGTTGTTTTTTTTTTTTGTAATAACACAAAATGAAAACTAACATTATTTTCAAGTTTTATGGTATTATTTACCTATAGTGCTTCGGCATTGTGACAAGATTTGAACGATTTTGTAAAATTTGAAAGTAGGCGAGAACTATTGGTTTTCACACCTAAAAGTCTTTCCCCATAAAAAAATGTATATAAATTCTGAGATGCATTCACATAGAGGTTAAGTTATCGCCATATTAATGCTGAAAATAATCTTGATATTTATTTTGTGAAAATTTATCAATTTATGATGTCTCGGTAAAGTTCTACAAATAATAAGCATAACTTTAAACAAATTTGAATGTAACCATTAGTCTTTCTAAAAGTTTCAGTTTTGGAAAAGACATCCCGTAACTAAAGATATTACTGTGTAAACTGTAACTTCATATTCATGAGTCCTAAAATGGAGGTTTTTTGGTTAATTTTCCGTGATCTTAAATACCACAAAACGTAATGTATTAAGTTGGATCAATCCTTTATCGTCCATCTAAAATAAGCTAAATTATTTTGCCTGGCTAAGAAATTTGAAACTAAAATTTCGGACTACAAACGTGTTTGGCTAGAGTTTCAATATGGAAAATTTCCTCTGATTGGAGGAAACAAACTTGTCACTTCAACCAGTGAGCCTATAATAGTTGCTTTTTTGAATATTCTTGAAACAAACGTTAGCTCTACATGTGCCATTTTTTATGATTATATTAGTTGACAGTCTATGTATTGATCCATGTCTACCAACTAAGGATTAACAGTACTGTAGTTGACTCGAGGTAGTTGAAGATTTCCGCCGTCAATTGGCGATTTGCCGGTCGCAAATAAAGTCTACAAAATTATGTTATAGTTTTTGGTTTTTGTTGTTGTCGTCCGCTAGTCTTCACACGATATAGAATCTAATAATTTACTCTATTCGACTGCGGACCTGACGAATGCTATTCCAGAAAAAAGTGTTGTGCGCATGCAAATCATATCGTATACGGGTTTTAAGTATCTTTATTTGAAGAAAAGGTATGATAAATGATGTATCGAATGTTACTAAAAAAGTTTATTGCCATTTTCTACAATTTCCGTTATCGCTTAGTGTAAGTAAACTATTTCCCTATAACATGGGATATCACTGGTGATCTACATGTTTAAGAAATGTGATTTACATTGAAATAAAATGTAGCGGCGGAAATAATCATTTATTATTAATACGACATTATGGATGTCTGTTATATAGATCAGACTGTAAAATTAAACGAATGGCATCTTTATAAGTATGCACGACACACGTGCTGGAATAATCTTCACCAGGTACTCTGTAGACAAAAAACATTGGAAATCAGAATGCAAACATGCAGGAGCATCAAACAAAAATAACATTAGCAAAAAAAAATGAGTTTGCTTGTACCCGCAAATCCACGTAAGATAGATAAAACATAAGCATTTTTCTCATTTGTTCCTGCATATTTATATATCAATGTTTTCTTTTCAAAACGAAGCACAAACACTTAAAATTACATTGCAATTGCTCTACCCTGGATTACATGAACAGTAGAACATTTTTTTATTACTGAAATATTTTGTCAATTTTGAGTCATTTTATTAAATTTTCATTTTAGAACGAAACAAAAATACTTAGAAATACCTTGCAATTGCTCTCTCCTGGATTATGTGGACAGTAGAACACTTTTTGTTACTGAAATATTTTATCAATCTTAAGACATTTTACTAAGTTATTACTTAATTTGGAATCCTTTTTCAGTATACCTTTAGGTTCGCCGTCCAGGTCCAATATTTGATACCATTACAGATAAATAGGGGCAATATAAGTATGATTATTCTGCCTGTGAAAAAAAATAACCGTAGTTCTGTCAAAATCATTGTTTTGAAAATTTCATGCAAATAGAGATGAGATGGAAATTATCGAAAAAACTATGATCGACTAACCAATATTTTTATGAGTCTCTTATATATAGTTCACTCTCTGTTTTCAATTTGGTTCATATTCAGTTTCCTTTGACATTTTCCCGTTGGTAACTGTTGTTAGGACATTTTTTATGTCCTTATTTTTATGTTTTTCGATTATTACAAAGTATCTTATAACTTTTCTCATTAACAGAATAAAACATAAGAAGAATGTACTTATGATAGATAAATCTGCACTACCTTCTTGGCAAAACCATCATAGTATACAGGAAACATCTGTAGAAATGATGATTGTTCATATAGTATTTTTCCAACTAATGTGTTATGGACAAGATCATTAAAACACGAGGTAAAGAGCAGGTGAGAGAGATAATAATCACTTAATTGTTCTATTATGTTGTAATTATTTTTCTGGTCATAACCTATGTATTATATGCCATTCTGTCTGATGGCTAATCCTTCAAAACATGTATACATCAAAAAGTACAAATATATAACATTCCGGTAGGTCAACTTTACATGTGTAGTCTGGATACTTAGTACAGTTTTTTTTGTAACGTTATAGGACTGTGGTCACGCATGTAGGTCGACCCGAAAGATTTATTCAGCGAGTTCAAAAAATATCGTTTAGATATAATTTATTTCAGCACTCTTGGCTATTTCATGGCGGCCAGTTTTTATTGGTTGAGGAAGCCGAGGGAGTGCTTGGAGGAAAACTGGCAATCCTAGTCAAATTGAGATCAGCGGTTAACACACCTTGCCTTGGCGGGGTTCAAACTCACAACCTCCGTGTTGACAGGCTACTGATCACTTTAGATAAACTACTCAGACCATTCGGTCACTGATGCCCCTCTTTTAGTATACGCGTATATAAGAATGTCGGGATTCCT